AACAACGATTCCACTGAGAATGTGAATGATATTGTCCCTAAAACTCATATGTGGGTTTGATTACAATTTGAAGAAGTTTTAAAAGTTTTCACTGATATGAGGTGAGAGTGCGTTGGTGTCGATAAGGACTTCTAGGAGAAATAAGAAACAAGACTTAATTCTTCCTTAAATTTGTTTGGCTCTCGGGCAGGGAAGTAGTACCTATCTGCCATTGCTCCCGGAATGGAAAACCCAGCCAAGTCAGAAAAACCAATGTCCAGCTGGAATAACTGTTGTTATGAAAGAAGGAAGATGGCAGGTGAGAACAGTTGTTATTGAACACAAGCCATGACATGTGTCCAAATAACTCCAACCTATACGTGGTTATCGAAGATTAATATGCATGCGAAGCACACCCTTAATATCAATGATAATTCTGGTGTTCGCATTAACAAAAGTTTCATATCTTTGGTTAATGAGGCCGGTGGGTTTGAAAATATACAATTCGTGGAACGTGATGCCCGTAATTACATTGGGCAGCAGAAGAACTCTTTGTAAGGAAGGTGATGGACAAACACTTTTAAGGTATTTTTCAAGAATGAGAGAATTAAACAATGATTTTTTCTATGATATGGAAATGGACGACGAGAACGAATAAGAGTGTTCTTGGGCCGAATGCACGAAGTCGCGCAGAATGTGTAGATTTTGGTGATGTGGTGGCGTTTGACCACAACCTACTTAAACAAACAAATATGACATGCCATTTGCACCATTTGTTGGTGTTAATCATCATGGTCATTCAATATTACTGGGTTGTGCTTTGATTTCCGCAGATGACACTAGGACATTCACATGGCTATTTTCAACTTGGCTAGATGTATGTCAAATAAGGCTCCTGAAGGTATCGTGACTGACCAATGTAAGGCAATGTCGAATGCCATAAATGTTGTGTTTCCAAACACAAAACACCATTGGTGCTTGTGGCACATAATGAAAAAAATACCTGAGAAGTTGCAAGGCTACAAATGCTATAAAGCAATCAAAAGTGAACCTATTAAGGGATTCTGGGTTATGACCAACAGTCACTATGAAGACTTTGAGTTAGGCTGGGCAAAGTTGGGGTATGTCAAGGCGTTTAGAGAATAATTTGGAATTGCTCCTCATGTAGCAGATAGACAACGATGGGTCCTTGTTATAATGAAACATCAATTTGGGAGGGAATGTCAAATAAAGAAAAGAAGTGAGGTCATGAAGGAGAATTTTTGATGGATTCATAATGAAAGTAAAAACACCTTCAAAAAATTGTTGCAAGCAGTACGATAAACGCCCTACGACAAAAAGCACAAAAAGAGAACTTGAGGCCGATTTTTCTTCAATGAATACGACTCTACCATGTGGATCTTCATCTCTATGAAAGACAATACCAAACCGAGAGTACACACAAGCAAAAATTGTAGAGTTCCCAAAACGAATGGTCGGTGAAAGAATGAACGGAGGAATGGAAAAAAATGAACAAAAGAAGGTAAAATAACTAGGTACATGTTAAAGAAGACTGAATAGGGGAGGCGTGAGTGTAGTTCAAAAGTTCATGTAGTAGTCTTTGATCCTGTGACAACCGACACTCACTGCAGTTGCCAACTATTTGAGTTTAGGGGAATCTTGTGTAGACATTCCTTATTGGTCCTAGGCCAGGAAGATGTGCGTAATGTACCAACAAAATATGTTTTGCGTAGGTGGAGCAAAAACGTCCGTAGAAGACATACTCTCATTAAAGCATCGTACCACCAATAACATTTGGAAAGACCCTAAGATGCAAAAGGGTTACCAAGCTTTGTTGTAAGCGTTTCGATGACATCGCGAGGTGGTTGCTGGTTTCTGAGACTGCCATCTTATAAGTTGCTTCAGATTCTAACTTATGGGCAAACAAAATTGGGCCCCCGCTGTAACTCCCGCTACTCCACTCCCCAACGACAATGGCGATGGTCAATATGATGATGCATCTCACAGGAATGGACGTCTGCCTTGTAATGAAGAGGTTCGACCTAGTTGTGAAATTGACGAAGCACTGTGCGCAGTCCATAGTAAGCTGTCAACGCAAAGGGGCCGACCCAAGGACAAAGATATGCAAATACAACAGTATAAAAATTACAAAAAGAAAAGTCCCAGCTACTAAACCAAAAAATGCAAGGAATTTCCAAATGTCAGATATACACACCACATGTCGATGTTATGTTTTTATGATAGTTTCTATAGTATCAACTTTATTCATTTTAACGCTTAACTAATACTCTTATTATCAGGGATACACGTAAGCCAAGAACTAAGACGGACGATCCACGAAAATGTTCGAGACACTTCAACTGCAGGAAACGATCACGTTTGAAATCTCAAGGTCACCCAATCAGAATCGGAAAGCTGTCTTTATTGACATCAGGATTGCAATACATTGTTCACAATGATGATACTCACCAAATACTTATACACACCTTTAACCCATGCACTGTGGGTATAAACTTATTTTTTGGGGTATGTATGGTGTTCAATATTATGTGTGTCCTTTCATTGAAATAAATAACATTAATTTATTACTTCGTTACATATATTTTTCATGAATATGGTTACTAACGTATGTTTAATACCGAACCGTGTGTTGAATACCGAACGTTCAACGAAGGTGTGTGAGAGTCATGACCGAACGCTGTTGAGATGATTTCGCGGAACGCTAAGCATGGAGACCGAACGTCCTCCAAAACGAACGTGAACGAACGAGCGTCAACGAACGACCGCTCAATCACTACCTACTCTTCAGGTCAAGAATCCACTTAGGCGGACCACTACAAACCGTGCGTGAACGAACGCTCTGCCATAGTAACTGCCCAACGACTTCACAAATTTTGTTTACAGAGCGCTCATTGGTAACGTTCATAGCGTTCGCTCACGTCTACGGCCGTTTCGCAGTTAACGTACTGTTTACGTTGATTTGACCGTTGGCATGGACTTTGGTGCATTTTTATTTCGTTCGTTAAGAGGGCGTTCGTTAAGAGGTCGTTCCTTAAGAGGCCGTTCGTTATCGATGGTAACCGTTCGGCCCATTGTTAGAGCCGTTCGGCACATAATGTGGTTTTTATTCTTCTGTTATCCATTTAATGTACCCCAACCACCGTCAAAAACTATTACGACTCATTTATTATGAAATAAATGGTTGTTTAAACGGTTCAACACATTTACTGCTTCGTTGAACGGATTCAAATTCCACAATAATACTTCTCCCAATGTAATATCTAACCAACCAAAAACACTCTTCTCAATGTAACCCTTCTGCTCAATAGTCAACCGTTCGTTCAAAACACCTATCATCTTGGTTTTGCAGTAGTATCTGAACACTAACTGCATACTAAGTCATGCTCACTAATTAAATACAGTCAAACAACAAATGTATGGAAATCAAATACAATCCTACGTACCTTCTTCCTTCTATCACTTCCTTTGTCACTTTGTTCACCAAGTTCTTCCTCCATCACACTACACCAACACAAAAACTGAAATTACATTACACAAACACAATCAACTAAAACAACAAATTGGAAATCATAACAAACATTGTCAGCATTTGTTAAAACACAACAAAAAAGAGAACAAAAAAATAGTCATTTATTAATTCATATAATTCGTGCCACATAAAACAACATTTTCTAACACTCATGGTACAGGAACAGAACTGGTACCTTAGACAAAATAAATGGGTACCTGGGTGCCAGTTTTTGCACACCAAGGCCAACTACGTCCATCACTCTCATTTTGGGGTGTCTTGTTTGTTTTCCCTCATTTTATTTACTTCTAAGTAATCTGGGAACAATTTCTTAACATTTTTTTAACATATTCGTGTCACATAAAACAACATTTTCTAACACTCATGGTACAAGAACAGAACTAGAACCTTAGGCAAAATAAGTGGGTACCTGGGTTCCAGTTTTTGCACACCAAGGCCAACTACGTCCATCACTCTCATTTTGGGGTGGCTTGTTTGTTTTCCCTCATTTCAGCTACTTCTAAGTAATTTGGGAACAATTTCTTAACATTTTATTAACAAATTCGTCTCGCATTGCTTCACCAACATTACTGCTACCAAAGCCGAATGAAGTGGGTTATTGGGTTGAAGTTTTTTGACAGTAAGGCCAACTAGGTCCATGACTACCAATCGAACAGAATTACAGCAACAATGTAAGATTAACCAAAGAACTTGTATAAAAATCAGTAACAGAACAACATCCACTTGGGAGACGTTTCATACATAACCAAATCAAATCCAAAAACAACATCATCCATGTATTCAACATTCATTGCACTGAAAAATCAAAAAAGAAACCAACCTTGAGTGAAGACGACGTGTGGCGGTTGGAACAGAGAAGATTGCCTAAGGTGTGGGTGGGACTGACAACCCGGAAAACCCCTCTTTTTGGTCCACCGAACAACCCAAACTCCGACGAGACTCCGGCGAACCTCCCGCGGCACTCCGGCGGCACTCCGGGACAGGGACTGAACCACCTGGGACGAAGCGACACCTTCAACGCCTCCCTAAGTCGCTGGGCCGGAACGGACGGAACACGATGCCCTGTTCGCTTCGAGCGCTCCACGTCGGACCTGCGGCGCCGTGAAACGGAACGGGCTGGAGGGGTTCGATCTCTCCGACACGGCCTTCAACGTTGAACGGCGGCACTCCGGCAACCACTCCGTCTCTCTCTCGCTCGTGAACCCTTTCTCCAACTCTCTCGTCTCTCTGTCTAGGTCACAGCATCCGTCCCCAATGTTCGCGCCGCTTCTCTCTCTGCAAAGTTCGAAAATCAATTTCAAATTTGAAACACAACTTCAACTCTGTCCTGTCCCTCGCCACGTCACAATTCAGCAGCTTTTCTCATATTTCAGCAGCTTTTTCCATCAAAACGTGGACCGCTCACATGCTGACACGTGTGCCGTGTCTAAATGTTGTCAAATTAAGTTGTTCGAGTATCATTTTCCTTATAAAAAACCTGCGAACATGGAGGAAATTGAGGAAAACATCTATCTCCCTATTAAAAGGGCGCAGCTAGCAGTTTTAAGGTCAATTTTCAATGTATGGTTTCTCATTCTCACTCTTTCCTCTAGTAGTTGAATATTCATTGTCATGATCCTATTATAATTTAGAATGAAAAGTTCCTGGTTATGTTTATTGAATAAAGTGATATAGCATTTGGGAACAGGTGGTGTACAACATTTTTTTTTTCTTGAACGAATCAAAATGTCCTTTATGCAAGCTGATTCATATTTTGATTGTACTTTTGCTGCTTTTCTATGCAGTATAGCGTGCCGTACCTTATAGGTTGGAATGCATTTGCAAGCACCATAAAGGCAGAGGTATATAGTCAAATGAACAGTGCCAACCCCAGATACAGTGCAAACAATGAATGGAGCAGATAATGATCATCACTTCATCACTTACTGTAGATAGTTAGTTACAAAACTATATGCTACCTTCTCAACTTTGAAATTTGTTGAATCTTTTCATTCTGATAGCATAGTTTTTTGAGAAATTTTGAGTATCATTGTTAGAACACTCATTTTTAATTTATTTATTTACTTTGATTCCTTGTTTTTTGTATTTTGGTACTTGCTTTCGTCTTTTGTTTTTGAATTCAATTACAATGTATTGACAATGTAAATATTTCATCAAATCATGGATTAATTTAAAAGATTTAATTTTTCCTGTCCCTCAATCAAATTCATATATTGCTGAAAAACTATATTCAAGAGAGGGCATGCTGCATCTGTGGTAATCAGAAATGCAAATAACCAATTTTTATAGCTCTTATGCTGTTAAGTAATATATTCTCTACCTTTTATTTAGTAAAAATAATATAAAAAGGTTTATTTTTATATTTTTCAAGTAAGAGCTAAAAGCTGGGCTTCAAATTCGTCCTAAAGTCATGCCAAACCAAACTTGGGTAAAGAATATCAGACACACAAGCAGAGTGTACAATTTCAATAGTTAGATACTGGTATAAAGTGAGTTTACTCTAAGTTCTAGTAATACAAAACTTTCACATTGCTAGTTATGTACTCTTACTTTTACTAATGTTGAACATAGTGAAAAATAAGTTTGAGATTAATTTCTCTTGTGTAGAAAATATACATAGTATTTATAATAGAAGAAATATGAGTTAAGCTTAAAATACAAATAAAGAATAATGACAAAATAATAAAGAAAATAAAGATAATATATAAGATAAGATATCTAATAATCTAATATCTAACACTTTTCCTTAAGTTGATACATATAAATCGTATATTTCAAATGTTATAAATATAATCAATTATCGGTCTATGTAAAGATTTAATAATAATATTTGTTAACTAATCACTTGAGTTAATGAATTTTGTCATGATGTTTTTAGATACAGTTTCCTCTCGAATGAAATGATAGTTAATTTCAATATGTTTGGTCTTTTTATGAAAGACATGACTAGAATTAATATGAAGAGCAGTGATTGTCACATATAAGTGACATCTCCAAATTGTAACTCTTTAAGCAATTCTTTAAAGCAAACAAGTTCACAAGTAGTTGAGGTCATAGTTCTATATTCTACTTCTGCATCAAATCTTGCCATAACACTTTGTTTCTTGCTTTTCTAAAAGATCAAGTTACCATTAACAGAAATACAATATCTTGATGTAGACCTTCTATGAGTAGGAGATCCTACTCAATCAGCATTTGAATAACAAATAACTCTTGTATGGTTATTGGAACCATACAACAACCATTTTCTAGGAGCTCATTTAATGTATTTTAATATACGGATGAATGCATTCCAATGATCTTCACATAGAGAATTAAGAAATTAGCCACCGGTCAATTATTTACATTTATGTCACCGGTCAATTATTTATGTTGGGGTTTTTGGTGGACCGACGTCTATTGGGTGACGTTAAAGGCCAATTCTGCACTAGTGTAGTCTTCTACACTACTCAGAGATTTGACATAGGTTACCCCTGATTTGGTAGAAGTTTAGTATTAGGATTTATGAGTGTGTTAACAAATTTTGAATTCATCAATCCAATTTCCTCCAAACTATCCAATGCATACTTTCTTTAAGATATATCATCAATTAATATAAAAATTATTATTAACGACATATACGTCATGAAAGGTTAATCCTATACATACTATAAGCAATATTTTTAATTTAATGAGGGATCAAATTAGAAATATTACAATTCTGAATGTAACTTACAGAAGTTACGTAAAAGGGTTATGGTTCCCATTTTGTAGAGACAAAACAAATTATTGCCAACCTTTTCTTTTCATCCCCATTAGAAGAGAAAACCAAAAAGAATCTAAGGTGAACTACATTTGGAAGATCACATACTCATTGTTAATCTTATCACCTTCATCATGAATTAAGGAATGTAATTTTGGTTGTATATGGGAAACATATTTTATTAATACCATGTTCTCTAAATGAGCACTCATCTATTCGTCCATATAATTGGCTCCTCATGACTTTGTATGCTTGTGTAATACTTTTCCACACCAAGTCCAAACTATATAACTCTTCACTATACTAAAGTCAAATAGATGATCACACATTGTGTCCAAGTCTTGATGTATTTGATTAGGACAACAAACACAATTATAAGAATATGTCTCATTCATAGATATTGTGTATTCTTGAGCATATTACAAAACTCATAAACATTTTTATTATACTTTTCACAAATGCGTTTATTCATCCAACTTCAATCACACTATGTTCGTAACAAACTTCATCAATTTCAAATTTTGAACTCTCATAAGTTAAGGCCTTACCAATTGAAAAGAAAATATTTTTCATAATTTACTAACACGTATATTATATGAAAAATATTAACATTATAAATTTGATACAATTTTTGCATCATTTCACTTTGATCACGGAAGTACATGAAATGAAACTAATCACGAATAACCAAAATCAAGTATGCATCCAGCTTACAGCATAAAATGGTCTTAACCGAAATTTTATCAAATTTATGCATAAGCTTCGATGTATACATTTATAGCAAATTGTGAAAAATAATTTCAAACTATTCAATCGGACAATTCAAGATTTAATACAAACGATTAAAAGTTTAATCATTTTGTACTAAATTTTAAAGTTTGCTCCATGTTTAACTAAAATTATAATAAATCTTAATATAACATGAAATTGCACCTAATAATAATAAAAAAATCTAACAAATCTAAAATTATAAAGCATAATAGACCTAATAATTAATCAAACATCTAAACTGATTTTTTTATCTACGTATATATACATATTAAGATTCACATAAAACTAATTGTGATACTATATATCCTAAAAATTTAAATGAAACAAAAATGTCAAAAAAAACTTACATTGGTGAAGAAAGTTTCTTAAGAAAAAATTCTCAAATTGCTAATGTTTTTTTTCAAAGATAAAAAATAAATAATAGGAAACAGAGGACCGATCACATGCAATAAAAAAACAAAGTGCAATGTAGAAACCGAAACTAACCTTGTACTCCAAACCAACAACCTTGTACGAAGTTATAGGTGACCTTAAGACCTCATCACCATTGTTGGAGAGTGGCTTTAGGGAGTTATCGTTGTCATTTTGAGTCTTGAAAACACAATCCTACACGAAAACTTGCAATAAAAAACGAAAGCTCAAACAAGGCAATGAAACAACATGCATTTGATTTAAATAAATCAAAACTCACCTTAGTTACTCATCGTAGCTACTTGAAAGGGATCCTTCGAGCCTCGAAAATGCATACGTGGTTTTCGTTGAACAGCGCGTAGGCGGCCTAAGTTCCTATGATCGAGTCTTTCTGGCACCTGTGAACATCTTTTCTTAATGTATTAAAGAGGGCCTCTCTAACCGGTGAAAAGTGGTGGGTGTCCACTAACGGCCATTCCTGGCTCGGCTCCGATAACGCAATTCCGGAAGGAGTCGGTAGTTGGGCACTGGATGCCTTCGGACCTGGAGAACGTGTGACGCTAGGTCGGGGTTTGGTGAACCAACTGGTCGCTCCTCTAGTTGAAGTATCGGGCCCCTTTTTATTTCGTTACCTAGGTTACACCTTCGGAATACCCCAGAAGGGAATTTTTCTATATTTCCCTCAATCTTCACTTTACGCCAGGCCTCCCAGTTCAAATACGTCATAAGGCGTGGAATTAGACCAAGGGGAATCTCCATAGGAACTAGTCCCTCAGATTTCGCACGTAGGAGATCGAGACACAGCCCCACCCAGGGCTATGAGGAAAGATGTAGATCAATCGCCTCAGATAGACAACTACATAAAGGGTCTCTACAAGTATATATATATATATATATATATATATATATATATATATATATAATCTTTTTTATTTCGTTCCCCCATAAGATCACCAATGAGGTCTGCAAGTTTCACATTTAAGTAATACTCGATCCAATAGTTTACGATATATTCACAACATTCTAAGCTAAGAAAGGAGATTTTTAGATATCGGAAGTTGTCCGATCGTACCCAAACAGTAAGATTCCAGAGGAAAATGCACCTAAGATCAAATATTTCGAGTCGGCTTCCGTTGAAAATTCAGACTTTCTTTTTGATGCTGCCATCACATAAAAACATAAACTTTGAGGCTCAATAGCTAAATACATGGCGATTGAATCATGAGCCGAGATCATAAAGAACATACTGCGAGTAGGAAGTGGAATTAATACAATGAATTCAAAAGCATCAAACCTCTCTTGTTCGGAAGAATCGAAACACATCGAAATGGTACCAGCCGTACGTAATAATAGAACATTTTTGTAAATTTATTGGTCAAAAAGATGTCTTTAAAACATAAAATTAAATTTTATTTTTATATCTTACCGTCTTATTCATGATATATTTTATACAATAAATACATTTTGGAATGATAGATGACATTAAATTTATAGGCTTCATATAAACATATATTTTAATAAAAAAATTCATTTAATAGAACAATATTATTAAATAAAATTTCACATAGTTAATAATCCATAATTATTTAGAGAGTGATACCTAACTATACTATCACCTTTATCTAAAATAATTATACTAGTATATAACAAATTTTACGTCAACTTACTCTAAAGAACTAAAAGTTGATTGTATAACTATAGCTACTTCCAAAAGATAGAAGTTAAACCAAGTTCTTATGATCTATATTTATATAATTATATCTATACAACTGCCTCAACATTTTCCCTCTAAGGTAAAATCACACCTAGTTTTTCATCTACTCACACTAGTAAAGGTTATCATTGTAAAATGGGGGACTAAATCGAACATTCTTAACTGAATTTAACTAATTACAACAAACACCGGTACATAATCCATGGTATACTGATCTTACATCAACCAAAACACCTGAAGTTATACATTCACCTTCACATTGCCCACCTACTTTCATCAATCATTCAAAACATTACATCAACAAAACATAAAACATACACCCACTTTGTCCACCTAACAACATTGACCTAAACATAACCAAAATATCGCAATGTTTAGCACAATAGAAACAAACAGGGATTATCCCACCTCCCCTCTAACCACCACCATGTGACGAA